TTGGTTAGCTGCTTGGCTTGTAGAGGCATTGAATGTTGTAATTTGCGGTGCTAATGTTGGCTTTTTGCGTTGGGAAGTACAGAAGCTGGAATGTGCAACAAAGTGTGGTGGCGCTTACCACACTGTATGCAAAGGCTATACGAAGGGCTAAGGCAATTTGAACAATTTTTTTTTTGTGTCTACGAAGGTCTTTCGTTCAAAACAATCTTAATTGAGAAACGTCGGACACCTGCGCAGAATGTGCATTTGACCACAAAGTATGCAGTGATTAGCTTTAGTTGAAACATTGCTGGGCTTGGTATGAATGTGAAACGACTTTTGAACCTACGTTCGGGACATATTGCTGTTGGCGCCTAGTCTTTTGCGCTTGGGTGTGGCGTCGGATCGCCATGGCATCTGAAGATGGTGGTTGTTCTGCGCGATTTTCTATGGCGTCCAATGTGTGCAGCCGAGTGTAGAGGAATGCTCCCAGGTCACTGAACGTTGGGATCGTTGTCCTATCGCCGAGGTGATGCTCCCACGCTTGATGTGTTTCCTTTGGAAATCTAGTAACGAGATGATGTTCTACCCAAAATTTGCTGTCATCTACGAATATCTTTAGACGTCTCAGTTCCTTGATACATACGGTTGGAGCATTAAGCATGCATTTTATATCATCTGCATGTTCTCTCTGTAGTGTTGGCAGGCTAAATATATAAAGCATTCATGTGGTGCGTGAATAATATTCGTGGATTGTCATAGAGTTTTATGAGCAATTTCCAAGCAGTATCGTAGTTAGTCAAAGTCAAAGACATTTGATGCAGGTCGATATCGTGATCAGCTGGAAGAGCCTTTTTTAGGTAATGAAATTTTTGTATTTCATTTAAGTCGGAATTAGTGTGAATTAATCTGTTATATGCATCATAGGTGCTTTGGATTTTAAAGGAAACAACTCGTCCTGGCGATCTGATATTTCGCAGTATATGTCGAGGTATGTTTCATCAAATGCTGAATACAGTTCAGCGGAGAGGTACGTGTGGTTAGAATCGATGCCGCTTCCAATAATACGGGCGTGCGTCTCTTGAAAATCTGCGTGGAGTTGCTCGAGTCTCTTCAACCGTTGTGCAAATTAGGTTTTTGTTTTACGAACTGTGCTGCCCTTTCGAAAATTGGTGAGCAGCTTCTTTAGCTCGTCTACGCGATTAACCTGTACCCTAATGAGGTCTTCGCTGGGCATTTTGGTGCCTCTGTGATAACCTCAATAAGTTGAACAACCAAACGAAATTGCACCCACCTACCTTTTTTTTCCTTTGCCGATTTAACTGTCCGGGCACTGCTGCGTTTTATATATATCGGCTACCGATCGCTGCGAGTACTGATTGTTGGAAGCTTTCTTGTCGTCAACTGGAAATTGAAGAGATCCCCTTATGGGCCACCAAAATGTTTGTGCAACTCTGTGCAATGACGAATTAAGTTAAATTCAGGTGTTCAATTCAATCCATTTATTAAACAAATTGTACATAAAGTAGCGAGACGACAAAATATCCCTATATTTAACAACTAAACTTGTTGACAATAGAATTAGCGCTGAGTTATCAACAAAACTGAGTTGGCGAGAAAACAAAAAAAACTGTGTCTTGATTGACCGCGAATCGTCAATTCTGCAGACTGGTAGAGAAAGCAAAACAATATTACTTAAAGAAAAATAGGAAGAGGAATTGTAATGACAGGTGTGCTCGATGTTGTGAGAGCCAGCGTTTCCGAAACTCTCCACCTCATAGACCTCGTAAATTTACGAGCCTCGTAAAAGAACTGTCAAAATTTGTGTGGAGCTCTATTTACGAGCCCCTCGTAAAATCACGAAGCAAATTTGATGCGCAAACGACCTCGTAAACTTCAGTGTTGCCGAGGGTCCGATATTTTTATACTAAACTGTATGATAAAATAATAAAAATAAATTTAAAAAAAAAATAACAAGCGAATAAAATGAATGAATGTCATCCACTCACTGTATTGACTTAACATTTCGTATGATAAAATAATAAAAATAAATTTAAAAAAATAACAAGCGAATAAAATTAATGAATTTCATCCACTAACTGTATTGACTTAGGATTTCTGCTATTTCCGACACAAGATAGTGGGATGTTATGGAAAATACTACAAAACAAAAATTGCTTCCCAAAAGCCCTGGTTGATCTGTCAAACAGTCACTTCAAAGAATAGATAGAATAATTCGAAATTATCTCGAGAATTAACTGCAGTTGAAAAGCCGTAGCTTATTACCTCACCACAACCCTGGAGAACTGGGACGTAAGCATCGTTGATGACAAAGCCAACATAACACAGCTTCTCCTTGGTCTCGCCAACTCGGACTATGCTCCAATCACTGGTGGGCAGCCCTTCGTTGCCTAGTCTGATAAATTCCAGAATCTCTCACGCCTCAGCTGGAACGCAGGCCCAGGCTCGCGGCCTGTTAGGGACTTCATCCCTATGGACGGCAACTAAGTCTGCCCCGAGCCAAAGCTGTCCAACCCTGGAGTTCGCTTCCCATTAGAGCTGGACCGCCCGTTCATCTGCACACTCTACATGGCTTTACCCGCCTCTGATGCCACCCAGCATCACGGATGACTGGTGTAGGGCCGGGATACTTTTGGAGTATCCCTTTATATACCCTGCATAGACCCATCAGTGCGAACTTACAATTGTCCGTGCTAATGTGGCCGTCGGGATGGCCCTTGTCCGTCACCGCCATTGTGAGGTGCTCTTTGGCGGCCTCGCTGATTGGCTTCGTGGTAGACACGGCCATGGTCGGACGGTTAGAAGTGATGGGAGCCCTTTGCCTTTAGGATCCACTCGGGGTGTCGTCCTGAGATCGTTGTCTCTTGGGGGCTAGGTACATCCGTGAGTTTGCCTTAGTGGGTGGTTTGTCCTTCCCGCCTTTCCCGGAGGATCGCTTGTCGCTGGCGACGAAGACTCCCATTGCCCACTAGAAGGAGGCTTTTTGCTCCTCCGTCAGCTGGTCATATTTACTGACACCCACTCTTTTAATGACCTTAGGGGCTGCCCTTCGGTTGCGCTGAGCCCTGACGGAGGGCAGAATTATTTTTTATGCATTGGAGCAGCCAGGGCGCCGATGAAAGTCGTTTGCCGCGGTCGTCGGAGTTTTACTCGCGGGAGTAGTCCTCTGCTATGCCCGGGTGGGTATAGAGAGATGGGCGGTCCGTAGCTTCTCCCCCGGCTTAGACTTTCCATCGCGAGGTATAGTTCTGCCGGTATCGCTAGAGGTTTGATGTCCTGCAAGTGGCATCTTTTTTCTCTGCAGCTTCTTGACACTCCTCATCGTACCAGTTGTTCTTTCGGGCTCGCTGAAATCCGACTACTTCTTCGGCGGCGTTACTTAATGAGCGGGAAATATGGTTCCACTGCTCGCATATGTCGGTTTGTTGAAGAGTGCTCTTTGAGAGCAGGTGCGAGAGTCGAGTAGCAAAAGCACTGGCTGTCGGTTGTGATTGCAGCTTTTCGAAGTTAAGCTTTCCTTGCATATTTGGACGCACATTTTTTGCTGCACAGAGGCGGGTGCGTATCTTGGCTGCAACAAGATAGTGGTCCAAGTCGATGCTGGGCCTCGGAGTTTACGTACGTCTAAAATGTTAGAAGAGTGCCCTCCGTCTATGACAACATGATCGATTTGGTTTCTGGTTTTTCAATCTGGAGACAGCCACGTAGCCTGATGGATCTTTTTCTGCTTGAACTACCGGCGAAGTCTATCAGCCTGAGTCCGTCAGCGGACGTTTCGTCGGGTAGGCTGACTTTTCCGACGGTGGTTTCAAAGATCCCTTGCCTACCTGGCATTGTCGCCAAGCACGATATTGAGCGAGGTATAGTTCTGCCGGTATCGCTAGAGGTTTGATGTCCTGCAAGTTGCATCTTTTTTCTCTGCAGCTTCTTGACACTCCTCATCGTACCAGTTGTTCTTTCGGGCTCGCTGAAATCCGACTACTTCTTCGGCGGCGTTACTTAATGAGCGGGAAATATGGTTCCACTGTTCGCATATGTCGGTTTGTTGAAGAGTGCTCTTTGAGAGCAGGTGCGAGAGTCGAGTAGCAAAAGCACTGGCTGTCTGTTGTGATTGCAGCTTTTCGAAGTTAAGCTTTCCTTGCATATTTGGACGCACATTTTTTGCTGCACAGAGGCGGGTGCGTATCTTGGCTGCAACAAGATAGTGGTCCGAGTCGATGCTTGGGCCTCGGAGTTTACGTACGTCTAAAATGTTGGAAGAGTGCCCTCCGTCTATGACAACATGATCGATTTGGTTTCTGGCGAAGTCTATCAGCCTGAGTCCGTCAGCGGACGTTTCGTCGGATAGGCTGACTTTTCCGACGATGGTTTAAAAGATCTCTTGCCTACCCTGCCATTGTCGCCAAAGCACGATATTGATATAATGGAGGGGGCGGCGCTCGTATGTAAGCTCACAGAAGCTATCCTTGGCCACTTGTCCTTCTCTTCCGTCGGGGCATGAGCGCAAATCCCACCACAATTCCAACACCAAATTTGCGCTCCTGTACATGGCAGCTGTAGTAGACTCGCAGGACCACAAGCATTTCTTGCGTTGCCCCGTCCACCGCATTTCTCGGATGGCGGTGATGCCAGCTTTTGGCCTTACGAGGACATCAACCAGACGGGCAGAGGCATCTTCCCCATTAAGGATCCGGACATTCCAGGCATGCACCTGGAATCATAGTCCTTTAAACTTTTGCCGTGGTCGTTAGGCGATCCTTTATTATGCTTCTTCACTGGAAGGGGTTTTTACGTGGCGGGTCAAAAACCCAGCAAACAACTATTTGCTGGGAATGTAATCATAACATTTAACTCGTACTCCTCTAATTTAGTATCATATATCTACATAGAATAAGATAGCTGAATGCCTTAGATGCTAGTGCTTCCATTTAATCCAAACGAGTGATTCATCACTCACTTTCAAATAAATAATAATAATAAAACTGTGCTTAATTTTATAGAAAATTTGCACCACGTTGCTGTGTTTGTATGGAGCCAATAATGCCGGAATCTGGTGAAGACGAAACTGTACGTGTTGTTGCATTAGATCGCAGTTTTCATTTTGAGTGCTATAAATGCGAAGTAAGATGTCTTAATCACAATCAGGAGTAGAGATTGCATAAGAATATATTTGTACTTTTCTTTCAGGATTGTGGGTTGCTGTTATCGTCGGAAGCCGAAGGCCGTGGATGTTACCCTTTAGACGGACATGTACTCTGTAAAAGCTGTAATGCAAAGCGCGTGCAAATGCTAACAAACCGAATGACAACTGAACTGTAAACAATGTATTGGATGAAATATAGCGAAATGTAATATGAAAATCCAACATTCCTATACACACGTAAACTAAAAGCTCGTGGAAACGAAAAATACATATGTGGCCCGCAACTCCAGCAGGGTATAAATGGGTTACTGAGTTAAGACAATACAATATTACCTTGGCGTCCTTCCTTGTTAAAGTTTAACTGGAATCACCGTGCTAGTTTAGTGACACTTAGTTAATTTGTTAAATTATTTGGCGAAAAAAAGAATGCATATCCGTATGTATGTATGTATCTGTGTGCGTATGCACTTGAGCATTAGGGTGGTTCACTCTTTGTCGTTTACTTTAGTCTAACCTGCTCTCTTGCTTTAAGCAACCACACCTATATACATGAACAAATAAATTTTAACAAAGATATAAAATTAGAAACTTCCATGCTTAAGAACGATTATGACATACTTTTATAGAAGATCCGTTAAAGGGAAAGAAAATAGAAAATGGCATCAATCAGAATCATTTCCAAATAAACACAACGAGAACATCAATCGACTAAAATACAATCCAGACTTCTCCAGGGATGATTGCATTATATTAGCTCACATGCGAGTTGGCGTAACAAAATTTTCCTCCCAACAGAACTTTCAACAATCACGACCATGTGAGAATGTGTGTTTCGGCGGGACTGCTAACACCGGGCGCCTAAATGCATGCTATGTACCGCTGTATGTTTAAATTTTCCTTAATGAAATTTTTGCACATGCACTTCTCAAGTGCCATGTAATAAAACTTTCTTAATTTATGATTTGATGGCAGTTCAGAGTATGCTCGGCCTAGTTTGATGCATCCTCCGGACAATGCTTCCGGAGCCATTTGCGGTTGACTTACAACCATGCAGAGGTGGTAAACGAATTTTACCATTGACCACAGTGCCTACCTACCTTTTTAGCACTAATAAATATATTTTTTTTTATATACATACATGCAAATGGCAAGTTATTCAATGTGCGTGGTGTTAAGTGAAATTGTACTGTATCCGGAGGTCAACATATCAATTTAAAAAAGCTTTAGACTGCACCCAAGAAAATTATAAAATTATATAAAGATGCTCTAAGTCAACGAACTTTAAGATAACCTTCCTTGATGCAATATGGCCTAATAGCCGAGCCCCAAAAATATATTTTGTAAATTAATTTATAAAATATATAATAAATGAATAAATAAAATTAGACCCCTAAATATAAATTTTTTTGTTCTGTGCTGATTTGGATCTCGCCATTCTCTGGTCCACGTCTCGGTGTCCTTGATATTGGAAAAAAGGTTAATAGGAAAGGACGTGGTTCCAACATTTTATTGCATATTGCCAGGCATTCATTGCATAACTATGTGATCTCTCTGCCCAGGAGAGTTTAAGACAATTTTTTTCTATGATGAAATGGTTGCAAATTTTATCTAGTTTTGCATGCCGTGTGGCACTTTTTAAATATCTAAAATGAATGGCTAAACATGACCGAATAGCTTGATAGTAACAAAAAAAGATCCGTATTTGTTGGCCAAAAGGGATCAAAAATTGCTTTTGAAAGGCCTGTTCCGCGTTGGTAACAAGAAATTTTGTTTAAAGTTCCTGTAAATTATATTAAACTGTTTTCGTATTCTGCACACTTTTGTAACCGGTATATTTGTTACCATCTGTAGGGTATTTTAACTGTATGTTTTTATACTTGTCATAATTCTTGGAGTTCAATTGTTCTATGAATTTGTTTATTATTGAAAAAGAAAATTGTTGATTATTAATAAATAAACTTTCAATGATAAAACATTAAAATGTTTGTACTTAAAAATAAACTTGAGTATAAATATATATCCTATATCATCTTCATAAGCAGGTAACTAAATGTTACCCCGTGAAATATGCACCACCATAATGTCTATAAAAATTTATAGCTGAATTGCTGAATAAATAAAAAAGTTAAAAAAAAGAACCTGGAATTGCGGCGTAGAAAGTGGTGTCAATTTTTGGTAACAAAATTTCCCGGTTACAAAATGTTCGGTAACAAGAATAGGCCCTTAGTTCCAGTTTTTCAATGCGAGTTTAACTCTGTTTGTCGTTTAAATTCAGTGTGCAGTTTTTGAGTCAAATTTAAAGGTTATTTAAACTACGCTGAGACGATCAATCTGGCTGGGTTGAACCGAGCTTAAACTATCAGCTGTTAAGTTGCCAAAATTTAGATGAACGAGGAGGGAAAATTTCAATTATTTGCGAAATACACGAAAACAGACTCATCTGTATAGCGGAACATACATAAATAAGCAAAATGTTCACACGTAAGATGAAAATTGTGCGCAAGAAAATTATAAAACGCAACTTGAATGTAACGAAATGGCTTACGGCTTACGTTCCATGCAAATTAAATAAAAACTTTGCTAACGCTAATTATATTATTATTTGTTGAAGCCTAAAAATATGTAATATAAATTTATCATTTTAATATAAAATGGTACGCCTCGTTTTACACTTGTGTGTTTCCTACGCTTCGCTTATGCTTCCATCGATGTAAATATAGAATTTTTATTTGTTGCTGTTGTTGTCGTTGTAGCGGCTACTATGCCCCGCTCGGGTCGGTTCATCCGTCAACGTTGTCGTCCGTTTCAGCTAAGGGGAGGCCCAGAAAGTGTGCGACTTCAACAGGGTCTGTCCATAAGGACAGGGGCGTCAGCTGGGTGGGGTTCTCGGGGCATGTGAAGAGGTGCCGAGAGTCATGAGGCGACTCTCCACATGCCGGGTATTGGTTGGGCACATCCTCATTAATTCCGCTTGACTGGGAGCATCTGGGCCTCGTCGTGTAGGTGGTTTTGGGGCGTCATCAGGAGGCATGCGGTCGCTGTTGGTAGTGCCGTATTCTGGCAGGTCTGTAGCTTCATCCACTGCGTTCTTCTAGTCCCAGGCGACCACACGCGTAGTTTAGAACCGGCCGGCCAATTGCCTTGTATGTTGGCAACAAAGTTTCTTTATCTTTGCCCCAAGTGCTGTAGGCCAGCGATTTGATGACATTGTTGCGGCTCTGTACTTTGTTGACAATTACGGTTGTATGCGCCGAGAAGGAGAGCATACTGTCGAAGGTAACTCTGAGGATTTGGGGTTATTCACCGTCGGTATTGTTACGCCATCAACGTGAATACCCAGTTGCAGTCTGACCTTCTTGGCCAGGTGGTGAATAGGGTTGCCGAGGATTTCGCAGGGGATAGGGCTAAGCTCCTTGCAGTGAAGAAGCAAGAAATTTCGGCGAGATAACCGTTTACTTTCGAGCACAAGTCATCAATTCCATTCCTAGGCGCCATGATCGAGCAATCGTCGGCATAAGAGACAATATTGACTCCCTCTGGTAGTTGAGGGTGATTTGAAATATAATAATTAAACAGTAGTGGGGACAGGACACCACCCTGTCGTACCCCCTGTTGAATTTTTCTTAACCTGCTGCTTTTGTCCCTAAAAATTACTGACGAGTGTCGACCACTCAGGTAATTCACCGACCACCGTTTGGGTCCTTGTGGGAGTGAGGAGGCCTCAATGTCTTCCAGCAGCGTTGAATGACTAACTGTATAACGCTACTAGAATAGTTCTCTCACAGGGGCGGTTTCGGTTAAGGCCACGAGTTATCTGGTTGTTTATGGCGTTAAGTGCAAATGGGGGTGATGCCTTGTGGTGGCGGTGGGCGGCGTTGTGGGGGAGGTATGCGACTGGGCAGCATAGCGAGCCCACATAGTCACTCGTCCAATGACGCTAGTTGCAAAGTCCTGAGCATGCCCTAAAGTGGCACCAGCCAAGGCAGGAGTTGCACATGACTGATGTCACGTTACTGTATATTCTGCACTGACAAACCGAGCAGATTGTCGGAGGGACTAGGAGTTGCCGGCGGCGGTGTGTGGGTGCTATTGTGTTTGTTTGTGTGTCTATTGTTCTGTTGTGTTGGGGTGTGGGTGTGTTGGTTCTATGCTGCACGGGCGGGTGGTGGTTTGCCGTGGAGGCGCACAGTGCCGCGACTCCATACAAATGATGGACAAAAATAGAAGGAGTGGTCAGAATTGGCTGAAACTTCACACCTAGAAGTATTATGCCCCTCTAATTTCAAAAATGAAATCGGTTTTTCTGTACCGGTTACTCATTTCGAGAAAACCGAGTTTTTCTTGCATTTTTATATGAAAATAGTCATTGTGGACATGTGTTGATATAAGTGGAAGGAGGCATCAGAATGGGCTGAAACTTTACACCTGAAAGGACTATATCACGGCAATTTAAGAAAAAAAANGTATTTTTGTCCACCTTCGCGGCACTGTGAGGCGGTCCGATTCGCACAGCATGGGGTCACGAACGACGTGGTCCATTGCCGGTGCGTACGTAGGCCCGAGCAGGTACGGAGATGACTCCGCCTGTCACAAGCATTGCAGCTGACCGAGGTGGGGTTTGTATGCAGTTGTCTCTGGCACACGCAGCAGGTGTAAATTTCTGGCCCTGGGTTGGACTCTATGCCAGCCCTGAGCAGAAGGGTACGGAGCAGATGTAGCCCCATTATCGAACAACGTTTGATGGATTTCGCCGACCCAAACGGGGTTAGATCGCCGAAACAACAGCCTTGGTCGGGTAAAACGCGAGTCATTCCGGTACGTAGAACCGGTTGTCGTGGGAATAAATTTTTATTTGTCAACTTAGCTGCTGTCCGTCAGTTGGTTGGTGGTAGCGTTGCGTTCATGTGACAAAGGCAAATCGGCTTGTTGGGCCCTCAGCCTGCTCATTAATTTTAACTCAATTATCTTACCCGGAACTTGCTTGAGTAAAGGTTCCCAACTCCTTGGGGCTTCGTTGAGGGGCACCGTTAATCTATGCTGCTACTGGTCTGGTGGTTCCGTTGCAGGCTACTTTTTCTTGTGGGGTTGCGCTCTCCGTATTTTCCATACGGTTGACTTATAGATAAAAAAAAANTGTGTTTGTTTGTGTGTCTATTGTTCTGTTGTGTTGGGGTGTGGGTGTGTTG